TAATAGTATATGTACGCGCAATTTTTTGTGAATATCAAAAAATTATGTTGCATATTGAATTTACTCAAACATTATAACTTTTGTTATAATTTAATAATATCATGGGCAATGATAATCATCAAAAGTCATGCCCCTGAAGTAATATATCTTAGTTACAATGTATAAGCACACATATGATATGCACAGTATATTTCCTTAATTTTTTCTGTAATAATATTGTCAATATCAAAATACAATGTTTAAAAAATATTTGATAAATTTATCTCACCATATTTTATGTATTAAATTGAAAAAATAATTAATTTAATTAACATTATTATAATAAGGAAAGAATTGTGTACTTATTTCATTTATTCATATTTAGGTGTTCTATATTCTATTTATTCACTAATAGCATATATTAATTTTCTGTTTTGAATTTGTATTGGGTCATTCTGGTTTTATCAGTATTTATAAAAAAAAAAACTACAGGTTCACAAATTTAAGTAAATAAAAATTTGAAAATTTGTAAAAAAATATATGGGTGGTGACAGGTGGTGGGTGGCTCTGGGACTGTCATGTCGGCTGTCTCGGGAGTGAGTAGCAGTAGCGGCGGCAGTTCCGGTCAACCCACACCCATTGCACTTGTACCCAACGTAATCGACTCTCTCTCTAGATTGTCCTCGTCACAGGTAAATAATTATTGGAACGTACCAGGAAGATTAAATTGATTTTGTAAGATTTGTGATCGCATGGATAATGTGTTCCACAGGTGCAAAACAGCTTTTATAACCAATTTCTTGAGATTGACATAATAAAGCTGTACACAATTGCTTATAGGAGTTAACAATATGTGTAAAGTTATAGCTAAACATATCATTAGTGTGCAGTGCAACTAGTTTTGTAATTATTAATTTGAACAATGTATTTTGATCCCTGTAGTATTTTGCATTATGGAAATGTTTAATTTTATATGGGTATAATTTTACATTGTTTTTAAACTTTGAAGAAATTCATTGACAATTTCTATTGCCTTTGTAAAATTGATTGATAATAACTACTACTTAAAATATATTTAAAACATAAAATTCTTAAGTGACATACAGTTTGACAGTGTATAACATTATTTAATCAAGAAGGAGTAATTATATCCTGCAGTATAATTATATTTAAAATAATTAGTGTATTTTATATTTTTCAGAACACAACAGCGAGTCCTAAAAATCCTACAGCAAAATTGTTAAGTCAACCAAGTATATCTATAACTCCTTTACCACGTACAACATCACAAACATCAATTCCTGGTTCTGGTACTTCATCAAAGTCTGGAGGAAAAACCACATTTGTTATATGTGAGATCTGCGATGGCTATATTAAAGTAAGTTAGATATTAGATTAATTGTAAAATATTTTATCATCTTTTTTATTATTTTGTATCTTGAAAAATCCTTATGTGGATTATAAATACAGATGCATTTTGTGTCATTTATTTAACTGTATTTTTTATGGATTTCAAAAAGTTTACAGTGTAACTAAAAATTGATGTATTATGTAATTTCAACTTAGAGAATAACTCAGGATTAATTTTTTTTTTAAGAATTCAAGAATTTTTTTAGGAAGATGTGAACTAAAATTAAAAATAGTCATAGAAATTATGAATCACATATGGCAAATTACTTTTTACCCAATCTAATATTTTATATTTACATAATTTTAGTATAACATTTTATTAAATTGAATAATATTATAACTATTATTCATTGTATATTGTAAACTTGGATTACTTTAGCTCTTATGTAAAGTTCCCTTTTCTTCTTCTTTTTCAGGATTTAGAACAACTACGTAACCATATGCAATGGATTCACAAAGTAAAAATACATCCAAAGATGATTTATAATAGACCTCCATTGAATTGCCAAAAATGTCAGTTTCGGTTTTTCACAGATCAGGTACACAATTGTACAATTTTATATATAAATTTATATATGAAATGATGACAAATAACATATAGAGTAAATTATATAATGTAAAAATTAATATCTCTCTATATTTATTTATTTATCAATTAATATTGACTATGTATTTGCCGCTTTTTTAATCGTGATAGTTTTAATATTTGTATCCATAAAAAACTCAATAATAATAGTATTATATTTTTATTGTTACAGGGTCTAGAAAGACATTTACTTGGTTCTCATGGTTTGGTTACATCCAGCATGCAAGAAGCTGCAAACAGAGGAAAAGATGCAGGTCGCTGTCCCGCTTGCGGCAGGGTAAGTTTATACTGTTTATATTGCTCAGCATTCAAAATGATATGCGTGTGAAATTGGGAGGTATAAATTTAAACAGCAAAATACTTGAGGGTTGTGGATCTTAATTTTTAGGTATATCAATGGAAATTACTAAATCATGTTGCGCGAGATCATGGAATGACATTAAAACCGGCGCATCTATCTTATAAATGTACAGTTTGCACTGCCACGTTTGGAATGTATAAGCAGTTTGAAAATCATGTATATTCGGCACATAGTGTCGTAGCTAAACGAGTAATGGATAAGAAGAACACACCTTCATCTCCATCGTCCAGATCCAATGACTCCCTTCTGAAGCCACTGAAGATTAATGATGAAATTACAATTATTCCACAACCAGCAAAACCTACAACCAGGTCGGGTACATCTCAAGGCAGAGGAAAATAGCAATGATCAGCAGAGTGATACATGTGTCTTGTCTTACTGAATTTCACGTAATTTTGAGGTACTCCATACCGGTCATTGTAGTATACAATGACTGACGTGCCGTGTACATGTGTATGCATATTATGCTTAAGACGCAATTACAACACATAAATCTACAACTCTTGGCAAAAAAACTAGTTGATTGCGTAATAATATTCCATCAATGATTATACCTATATATTTATTTAAGAATTTTTATTGTTGTTATCAGACATAGATAAAATAGACTGTAAAAATATTAAAGGGTGGCCTTCAGTCTAATTCCTTGGTTAATCCTAGAGCTGCATATTCCTGACCTACACGCCTATGAAAACCTATAAATACGAAGTATATTTACATTTTATGCGACACTCACATGTCATACTGCGAATCACTCTTAAATAGTAAATTCACTAATAATATAAATTCTTTTTCTAAGACAAATATATTTGAATTAATTCTATTTTGTTATTAACGCTAATACAATTACGTAGGACAATGAACGATAAATTGTCCTAACTCTATATATTCGATGTGTCTACGCGTCATGTTGCGAAGAAATTTCTGAACGATATATCAAATAATAAATTGTACTAATTAACGCGAGTGCCCTAGACTGTTTCGCGATTTTTTTGGTACATAATGAATATCAATAGTTTTTCTCACTTTTTTTCTATCTCATGTATACCTTCTCTTTTTCTAATTTCGCCATCATACTTTTAAGCGACGAATGTGGAATTTATAATACTTTACTTAATTTGTAATATCTCGTAAAGTTGTGTGTATGAAGTAAGTTATAAAATCAAAAATCTTTTGAAGTTGTAAATTGTATCTATTGCTATAAGTTGAAATTTTTCGTCGCAGACATTGTAATAAAACATTAAGTTTTAGTTTTGCGCTCTTATATAAACAAAAATGTACATTAACATAGAGTATAATATAAACGATTATATCAATAAAATAGGATGGCACGCATATGTGTATACATTTTTTCTGTTGAAATGATATATTTATCATAAAACACCGAACTTGTTAGTACGAACATCGCAACATTTAAACATATATATTTATATATGTATATATATAATATCTAGAAAAATATTATATATATAAATATGTAAAATTATTCTAGTATAGTGATAGCGTGGTATAAGAAGGGACAATTAATTATCTTCTTGTAAGCACTATGAATTTATAAGCTTATATGAATATGTAGATAGTCGAAAAAAGTAACAGATTTAATTTAATAATTTCAATCTTTTCGTAATAAGTTTTGTACGTTATTGTAGGAAATAATTTTAGAGGAAAAAAATTGCATTCGACAAAGAAAATAACATAGTGCATTTTTACACTGTATGGTTGTATTATTTAATTCTACTACCACTTGTCAGCCACTTTTACGGCAAGCTACGTTGGTAAAACAGAGAAACATTCATAGACGTAATTACAGAAATATATAGTTTACTGTAATAATTTGTACAATATTATATGATTATAAAAATAAAGTGTACCAACATTGTATTACTATTCACAGTTTATTTCAAATATCCTTTAAATTGCATGTAATATAGTGCAATTTACAAGAGTATGTAGATATATTTTAAATGCTTTGTGTATTTTAATGGAATCATTTATAATTCGTACTGAGTGCATATTTGTAATTCTATACCATGTATAAAATACAATACTAATAAATAAAATATGTACTACATAAATAAACAAATTATTAATTATAACATGTTAAAAAGTAATATTGTATTTTAAAAAATATATAACAATTTTATATTAAACGTATATTAAAATAAATTACGTTTCATATTTTAACCACTGATTGTGAACGAAAATTGAAAAGAATAATTTTGAATAATTTTCTAAACTAAATAAAAGATCTTATATTAAAACAAATTTTTTTAAGATTATTTGTTTTGTTAAGATTAAAATATAAATGCACGTGTAACAACAATATAATAAAGGTAAGTTCTAAAATTTAAGGAAATAGAATATTATTTCCGGTTTAAATTTGTTTGGTTAACAATCTATATTAAAATATTTAACATGTATTTTTGAAATATAATTTGAATTAATACGAATAAACAAAATTAACGTGACATATGGTTGTTAGGAGAATTTTTATTGTTTTATTGTAAATCTATTATCTGAAATACGTCGTAACTGAAAGAGGAACTATACTGAATTTCCAAATGTATCAGGATTTGGCGGGTAACACTCATTGCCTACATTCATTGAAAGGACTTTAGTGATTTGCTTCAAAAGTAAAATCATTGAACAAAGAATAACAGAACAATGAATATTGACTTACCTTATTCTGTCGAATATGCAAAAAGCTCACGGGCTTCTTGTCAAAATTGTAAGAAATCTATTGAAAAGGATTCGTTAAGACTTGCTGTTATTGTTCAGGTACGCAATATCAAAGATAATAATTTTATATAAATTTATATGTGATCACATTATTTCTAAATTATAGATATTTTTATCTTCTATTATTACTTAAGTTTATCGATGTTATGTAATATAATAGTAATTGATGTAGTAAAAGTAAAAAATATGATAAAATGTTAAATGTAATATATTTATGAAAATTGCATTATGATATAAATTATTTTCTGTACATTTAATTTCGAAAGAATTATGAATATTTATTAAAATTATTTAATAATGACATCTAAGTTATCTATATTTTTTATGATGCATTGTAAAAATTATATTGTTTTAAGATGTTAACAAATCGTATTTTTTGACTCTTAGAGTCCTGTTCATGATGGAATGATACCAAAGTGGTATCATCCAACTTGCTTTTTTATGAAACAAAGACCAAAAACTACTGCAGATTTTAGTAACTTTGATAATATTCGTTGGGAAGATCAAAAGGAACTTCAAAAGAAAATTGGTTTGTTTGTAGAGTATTTTAAATTATGTTTAATGTTGTGTAATAAAGTAATTTAAATGAGATTTTACTTTTGTAGAAGAATCATTTAACTTGCCTTTACCTGCATCTGGAAAACAAAGAAAACGTAATGCTACTGCCAAAAATATTGGCCCATTACGTGATTTTTTAGTTCAATATGCAAAATCTAATAAATCAACTTGTAAAGCTTGTGAAGAAAGAATAGTGAAAGGTGAGATAAGAATATCAAAGAAAGATTTCGAAAGTGAACAAGGTAGAAGATATGGTGGTATAGATAGATGGTATCATCTTGAATGTTTTGCCAAAATAAGAGAAAGTTTAGATTTTTATGAAAGTGGTGATGCAATTCCTGGCAATGAAGATCTTTCTAAAGATGATAAAAAGAAAATTAAAACTGTTTTACCAAAGATGAAATCAGACGATGCTCCACCAATTAAGAAAATTAAAGAAGAACCAGAAGATGCAGAAGAAGAGAAAGAAATGAAAAAACAAAATGATGAATTATTTGCAGTTAGAGACATATTATCTTCTATAAAAAAACCTGATCTCATTGCTATGTTGGAAAAAAACGAACAACATATTCCAGAAGGCGTATCCACTGTATGTTTTATTAATAAGTTTATTTTTATTTTTTAGAAAATAAGTATTTAAGTCATTAAAATATTTTTTACTGTAGATAATAGATCGTTTATCAGATGCAATTTGTTTTGGAACTTTAAAGCCATGCACAAAATGTAATGGTCAGCTTGTATATAATTCAGGTATTGGATATAAATGTACTGGAGATTTGACAGAATGGACTAAATGTGAAAATGTTACACAAGATCCTAAAAGAAAGAAGTTTATAATATCATCAGTCTTAAAAGACACTTACCCAGAACTGTAAGTACTTTCTTAAAATATTTATAAATTGGGATATATATTATAGTAAATGTATAAAACAATTAATCTCTATTTAAATGTCTAACAGTAAATCTTTGAAATATAAAGTTAAAAAACGAATTATAAAGATGTCTGTACCATCCACATCTAGTTTAGTGAAAAAAGAGGATGATGTTGATTCTGGACCCAAAGTTATTGCAAAAGCCAAACCATTGAAACATATGCAATTTGTCATTATAGGACATACAAGTAAAGATAAAAACACATTAAAGAAAGAAGTTTTGCATTTAGGGGGAGATATAACTTCAAAAATTCATGAACATGTAGCTGCTGTTATATCAACACAACACGAAATAGATAAAATGAGCAAAAAAATGGAAGAAGCTAAACAGCTTAACATACAAGTTATTACTGAAGACTTTATTGAAGAAGCTAAAGAATATACAAAGTCTGCGATTGCACTTATTAAAAAGAAAACTATATCAAGTTGGGGTGGTAATGTGTCTGACAGGATTAACGTTATCATAGAAAAATCTACTGCTACAAAAAGTAAAGGTAAAAGTGTATTTGAAAAGTCAGGATCTGGTAAAATGAAATTGCAATTAAAAAAAGGTGAAACTGTTGATCCACTTAGTGATTTACAAGATTGTGCACATGTATATCAACAGGATAAGAATAAATATACAGCTACATTGATACTTACAGATATACAAACTAAAAAAAATAGCTTTTATAAGTTACAAATTTTAAAACATGATAAAAAGAATGAATACTGGTTATTTAGAAGTTGGGGTAGAATAGGAACAACTATTGGTGGTACAAAATTGGATAACTTACCATTGAAGGAGTGTATAATACAGTTTGAATCGTTATATGAAGAAAAAAGTGGAAATAGTTGGAGTCAAAGAGAACATTTTGTTAAAGTACCACATAAAATGTATCCAGTCGATATTAATTACGGAGACGAAGCATCAACAAAAATACTTGAGTCTGATGTTAAGAGTGAATTAGAACAACCAATCCAAGATTTAATAAAATTGCTTTTTGATGAAGCAAGTATGAGGAAAGTGATGCTAGAATTTGAAATTGATGTAGATAAAATGCCACTTGGAAAATTATCTAAGAAACAAATCCAAAAGGCATACTTAGTATTAACAGATCTACAAGAAGTATTGAAAAAGAAGAACTTTGATACAGTTCAGTTGGTTGATGCGTCTAATAGATTTTACAATTTAATTCCCCACAATTTTGGAGTATCTGGCCCTAAAGTTTTGGACACAATGGCAGAAATTCAATCCAAATGTGAAATGTTAGATGTATTGCTTGAAATGGAGATTGGCTATTCACTTTTACATACTAAAACAGATGAAACAAAGAATCCACTTGATGTACATTACAAGCAATTGAATAGTGAAGTTACAGTATTGGATAAGGAAAGCGAGGAATATAAAGTCATTAAACAATACGTGGAAAATACTCATGGAAAGACTCATACACAATATGAACTTGAAATTGAAGAAGTATTTCTTATTAAGAGACAGGGAGAAGATAGTAGATATAAACCATTCAAGAAACTACCTAATAAGAAGTTACTATGGCACGGTTCTAGAACAACTAATTTTGCTGGCATTCTTTCTCAGGGCTTAAGAATAGCACCTCCAGAAGCTCCTGTTACTGGTTATATGTTTGGCAAAGGTATATATTTTGCAGACATGGTTTCCAAATCTGCGAATTATTGTTGTACAAATAGCGAAAATCCTACGGGATTGTTATTGCTTTGCGAGGTAGCATTAGGTAATATGTCTGAAAGATATGAAGCAGATTATATTGAGAAGTTACCAAATGGTAAACATTCAATATGGGGTCGTGGTCTAACACAACCTGATCCCGAAGATATTTATAAAATGAAGGATGGTGTGGAAGTACCATATGGTGTAGCTACATCTGTTAAGCTTCCAAAAAAATCTCATTTATTATATAATGAATATATTGTATATGATATTGCTCAGGTAAAAGTGCGATACTTATTGAAAATGAATTTCAAGTATAAAGAATAATATTTTTTAAAACATTGAAAATATTAAAATATAAAAGTAAGTTTATATTCAAGAATTCACTTATATGCTTTAAATATTTGAATTTATTAATAATATTACTTTTGATGTTATTATATTATGAATGTAACGTATTTCTAAACTTATTCTTTATATAAATAAATAATACAGAAAATTTATATTATTATATTAAATTAGTTAATGATATTCCATTCCAAATTTGATGAGAAGGAGTGATTTATACTACTTATTTAGTTAATACACATTTATTTTTGTTTTATTTTATAAAATTAATATTCAAAATGGAAATCAAAATAAGATTGGTCAAATGTATTAATACGAACATAACCATCTTCTCCACCTGTTGAAAAGCTACGACCATTAGGATGAAATGCTAGGGAGTTAATTGGACCAAAGTGACCTTTCAAACGTGCAAATTCTTCTTCAAATACTAAGTGAAAAAATCGGGAATCGAATTTTCCTTGACGAGTGGATGTTGTTGTGACATCCATAGCATCTTGACCTCCTCCAAGAACCACCTACAAAAATATTGTTTCCACAAATTTTAATAAACACTATTTCATAAATATTTGAACTACCATGCACAATACCCACATGATCAAATGTAGGAGAAATTGTAGCAGAATTAACAGGCCTTTCTGTTTTATATGTTTTTAATAATGTCAATGAGTCACTATCAAACAATTTGGCAGTATTATCTTTTGATGCAGTAACAAACATAGTGCCATCTTTATTGAACTGCATGTCATTTATTTGTGATTTGTGACATTTGGCACTTTTCAATTTTTGTCTTGTCTGCAAAAAAGACAAAAATGTTTAAATATTTAATTTATAAAGATAAAAATGTATTACATACTTTAACATCCCAAATTATGATTTCACCATCTTCGTGTCCAGTAATAACTGTTTCATCTAATGCTCCCCACAAAATAGCAGAGATTCTGGGGCCACCTATAGCAATTTTAGAAATTACATCCCCTTGTGAAAATCCAACATCAATATTCTTAGCATCTATGATAAACATTTCACACTGATGTCCAAAAGTTTTATCCGTGGAATAAACAGCAAGATTTCCTGAATAACTAAAGCTACATGTTCTAACTGAACTCTTTGCCTTAAGTAGACCTATTTCTTTTCCTACAATATAATATAGACCTTAAATATAAGAATGAATTAATAAATGAAAAACTGTGAAATAAATATTAAGTACAAACCAGTCTGACAATCCCAAATTCGTAGTGTATTGTCACCACTACCAGATAGAAATCTTGTTGTATCCCAATTAACATCAATACACCAGACAGAACCCATGTGCCCATTAAAAGTTCCAAGACGTTCTCCATTTAAAGAATACCAGACATTTGGATTTTTATCTTTACTAGATGAAAATAATAAATCTCCCTCTCTATTATATTTGATTTTTGTTATGGGACGTTCATGTCCTTGTAACATTAAAGGTTTCTAGACAAAATAATTAATTAATCATTTTTCAGAATGTCATATATTATATGCATCTATTTTGATTAAAGAATTTATCTAAAAGCTAGTATTTTCGAATTTTAAGATGTAAAATAATGACATATAAAATAACCTATTGCAAACTAATATATTACAATTTAAAATTGAATTATTATAGTATGATGTATTAAGTAATATAAAGGAATCCTACAATTTCGAAATTATTGATATATGTTTAGAAAAACAAATCTATAAAACACTGAAAATGTAAAGTGTTTAACTCAATAATGTCACAGAGGTTATTCTGTCACATGTTAAGCATATCACGAAAAACTTATATCAAGTCGTTAATGGAAAAAAATATGTAAAATGATTATATAAAACAACTAACCATGATGTTTAGCAATAAACAATTAAGATTAGTTAAAAATTAACAAGTAGTTTTTTAAAGCAATCACAAAATCTTCACAATATAAAATGGCGTATGTTTACTAATACAAACAGGGGATTGACTATACATTCATACTAAATGTTAAATTTATACGAAAATTAGATTAGAATTAAACTTGAATATTTATAAAATTTCGTTATGTTTTCTACTTTTAATATTCATTGATATATTTTTTAAACTTTGATTTAAAAATTCTCTTAAGTTAAATCTAGTATAGATTACGTGTGTATCTACCAATCATAATATACTTTTTACTGGCAATCAATTTTTATTACAATTATTTATTGTTATGTTCCATTTATATTAAATAAGTGTTTGTGTTAATATATAATATACATATTAAATGATGCAAACATATGTATTAGAATAAACAATTGTAAAAAAGTATTAAAGTTTATTATAATTTTTAAGAAGTGTCACGAATAACTAAAGTCCACATTTTAGTCAGAAAGAGTTCAGTCCTGTTCCAAATTCCGGTTGTATATTGGTTATTGAAACTGAAAAAGGAAACGAAACTGAAACGGCATGTCCGAAATTGTTAACCAACATGAGGTCAATCAAAGTTATTGGTTTAAATGGAATGATTATCAAAATCATCTTTCCGATGTAGTTAGACAACTCCTAGAGGAAGATTGTATGGTGGACGTTACCCTAGCTGCTGCTGGGGAACGTATTCATGCTCATCGTATAGTTCTTTGTGCTTGTAGCACTTTATTTCGAGTAAACAATCTTTATGTTTTTAAGAATATGTTCATAGCTTTAAATATGAATATCATTTCATAATTATGTTTAGACATATGTAAATAATTTGTTAATGCAATAGTTTAAACTCTTTAATTTCTTTTTTTGCATAGGTTTGTAAAATCTTCTCTATTAAGTATATTAAAGAATTAATTATACATTATATATTTATGAAATACAATAAATTCAAATTATTTCCTATTTATTATTGAAGACAATAGGTATTTTATGGATTAACTAGATATTTATGTAATATTCTACATGATTTATTAAATAAATATTTAATTCCTTATTTCTAGGAAATATTGAGTCAAGTTAATGAAGATCATTCAACAATAATATTAAGTGACATATCTGCTCAAGACATAAAATCTATCATAGAATTTACTTACCATGGAGAAGTAAGAGTTCCAGTTGAAAATATTAGTAGTTTATTAGATGCAGCACGTTCATTAAAAATCTGTGGTCTTATCGAAGTAGGTTATATTATTTACAAAAGTTAAAGAAGATATTTTTTTCTTTAACAATCTTCCATGTTTATAGATTGATGGGCTTGAAGAAACTGATTCTGTTATAAGCAATAAAGATTTTAATGATAATAATGAAGAACCAATGACTGTGATTAGTGAGACAGAGGAAAATGTTATTAATGCATTACAACATAATTATGAAGATTTAGAAGATCAACAAAAAGATGAGGTTATTGAAAATTCTTCCTTAATTAAAAAAAAGAAACGCAGACGTGATACAACAAAAAGGGATTATAGTGATGATATGTTAGCATCAGCAATTAATGATTTAAAAGCAGGCCAAACATTAATAGAAGCTTCTACTAAACATAACATACCACGTTCAACTTTGTATATGCGTGCTAAAGCATTAGGTATACATTTAAATGCATCAAGAAATGAATATCCAGCAGAATGTATGAAAGCTGCTATAAATGCGGTAATTGGTTGGTACTTATTCTGTTTTGCACAATTATAAAGTATTAATGCTATGATATTGCTTAATTTAGTTTATTGTACTGTAGCTGGGTCAAGTTTGCAGCATGCATCAGAAATGTTCAGTATACCGAAGACTGTATTATGGAGAAGAATTCAAAAAGAAGGATATCAGATACTACGTTCAGAAATGAAAAGATCTTATGGATCTGATAAACGGGAAGCTGCTGTTAAAGCTTTGGAAAGAGGAGAGAATTTAACAAAAGTTGCACTTGAATTTAAAGTATATTACTTAATTTATCATTTATTGTTCGTTTGTAATTTTATTTAAAGTTTCTGAGGGTAATAATAATAACAATGTTTTTAGATACCGAAGACTACTCTATTTAGAGATAAAGCTCGATTAGTAGATGAAGGGAAATTACCATTGTCATTTTGGAAGAAACGTAAAACAGAAAATGAAGAATTAAAAAAGTCGCGTTTGGAGGAAGCTGTTGCTGCTTGTAAAGGAGGAAAAATGTCGCAAGCAGCGGCATCGATGACTTATCATATTCCAAAGACAACAATATGGAGACGTCTTCAACAAGATGGTAAAAAATCAGAGAGGTTATTAAGTTCAAGAAAACAAAGGATAATGGATTCTAAACATAATACAGAAACAAAGGTACAAGAAGGATCAGATTTTACTTATTGCGAGGTATTAGGAATTGTCAAAATTTATTACTTTTCATGTTGTAGATTTTGTGATTATTAATGAATATTAATTATAGGTTTCCTCAGAAATTCCTATAACTTATATAGATGAAAATAGTATACCTGAAGATTCTGTGATAATATTAACAGCAGAAGATATGGATGGACTTAATTTAGAAGAAGGACGACAAATTATCGTTAATTCAGTATGTGTTCTGTTCGTTTTTTTCTTAAATCTAATTGCATAAAAATATTTCATAAAAATTATATGTGTATATAATTAATATAGAAATGTATATAATGTATTTGTTTTGTAGGAATCAGGACAAGAATATGTTCCTTGTGCTATAAGTATTGAAGAAAACTCAAATTATTCACAAACAGAAAGTTAGCATATTAACTGTTATCATTTGACTAACACTTATTAATATTCATTTTATATAGTAATATGTATATTACTTAGTTTAGAAATATATATATATATATATTTAAATGTATACCTACATATACCTATATCTATACTTATTTAAATGTATATATATACACATAAGAGACGTGATGTGCAAGTACACATACAAGCAGATGTAAAAATTAGTTCCATAATATTCACATATAATAATTGAATTATTATTAATTATTGCATTTTTGTGTTCAATATTCCCTTATATTTATTTATATTATATAAATAAAACTTATTCATTTTTTTTAGTTGAGAGATGTATGCTAATTTAGTTAATATGCAAATTTAAAAATAGTAAATCACGTTCTGGTGACTATGCAAGCATAAAATTATCAGTCATTACATGAATTGGTAAATGTGAGTCACCTGAATGTTGCAATGATAAGCATGTGCTTCAGTAAAAATAATTTTTCTTAGAATGTTAAAAATATATTTCTTTGCATTCCTAGTAATACTACACGAAATTAATTCCCTAGGCTTAAAAGTCATTTGTTAATTCGGTTTCTTCGTGCAAAATTAAGCCATCAAGAAGTTCTAGCTTTAGGAACATTTATAGAGTTACAATTTTGTGTTGCAAACCTGAAATAAGGTTTAATACTGGGGATATTCAACGGATGGTTTGTGGCCAGTAATCTGTTATAAGAACTGTGAGGACGAAATTTCATCATATTACGTGACTATAAAAACTTATAATAAATATGGTCCATCAATTATTATATTCCAGTAGTAAATTAGAAAGATTTGTTTTAAGTTCCATTTACAAAAATGCCAATATATTTCAGGTATAAATATAATCTAACATAACCTAATTCTTTCTCATAATTTTTTTTTATTAGAAGCCAATTCACATTTGAAAATTTTAATCTAATTAATATTCTTTATCAATATCATTTGTACTAACAGCACCGTATTGTTTTTCTAGTTTGCACCTTTTATTATTATTACGTACATTTATACATGTATATAACCTTCATAGATATTAAGTTGATATTGTATGAAGATTTTACAATGGTTTAAAATATTATTGTTATTAAATATAAGTCAATGTTATTTATATAATAACATTTGTATAAATTTTGTAAAAACCTTAATCTTATATGAATGTCTAGTAATAAAAAGTTTATTATATTTATATTACCTATTATGTTATATGTTACATACTTTTTTCAGTTAAGAAGATATTTATCACTTATAAGAAATGGCAGTAACACAAGTACAGTGGAAAATCTACGAAATCAATGGAGAGTACTATATAATGAGCCACCAAAAGGATTTGAAAAATTTTTTAGGCAAAGTTATTATTTTATTCTTATTCATTTCTGATTATAACAGATTTTAAAATACATTATAAAAAATAGATAACTAAAAGGTTTTAAATTTTTTATGTATAGAAAAAGATTCTAATAAAACAACTAAAGAAGTCGGTGACAAAGATAAAAAGGAATCCAAAAAAGCTTCTGAGTCACAGTCATCTAAAAGTCAATTTGATAAAGCATCTCAGTACTCTTCAAATACTAATAAACGTTTTTTTCAATGGGAATTTAAATGGAATGAAAAAAAATTTGAAGGCAATAATAATGATAAATTGTTTTTTTTTGGTACCTTATTAGTGGGATTGCTTTTTTATTTGGTAGAGGTATTACAATATCAAACATCAGAAATTACATGGAGAGAATTTATAACAAAGTAATTAAATAATAATAGTTTTTTGTTTACAACATATTTAGTATACAAATCTCTCAAAATTTATGTAAATGTTTTGTGCGAATTTTATTTAGATATTTAGATAAAGGAATAGTGGATAAAGTGGAAGTTATCAATAAACAGTGGGCTCGTGTAAAGTTATTACCTGGCAATACTGTCGATGGCAAAGTAAGTTTGTAATGCATTTATTAGTGGTAAATAAGGATAAATTATGTCTAAATTGTATAATTATTACATACATATTCAAGGATTCTTTGTGGTTCAGCATTGGTAGTGTTGAAACTTTTGAACGTAATTTGGAGAATGCACAAATAGATTTAAATATAGAACCACAAAATTATATATTAGTACATTACAAGGATGAGATAGAATTACAGCATATCGTAAAGTTAATACCACAACTTATTGTGTATGGTAAGTTATATTACTAAATTTTTATTTCCTTTGTGTATGTATGCATTTAGTTGTTCAAAAGACAACTCGATATAATATTGATTGTTATTTGCAGGTATGATGTTTTATGTAATTCGTAAATCAGCAATGCAGTTTGGCAAAGGAAGAAAAAGTGGTCTTTTTGGTCCATTAATGGAATCAACTGCAAAATTAGTCAATTCTAAAGATATTGGTGTTCAGTTTAAGTAAGTTGAGAGAGCTATTATTACTTAGTATTGCATTACAGTATCTCAAAAAATTATCATGAATTGTAGACAATTTTCTTCTGTTCTGTTATATTTCTTAAAATATTTTAGAATTAAATGAATGGATTTATTAAATGAGTGAAAAGGAAAGGTATTAAATAAGTGCAAATTGAGGTATTAATTAAAAAAGAAGAAAAGTAGTTGATGTGTAATCAGTTTCTAGAGTAGAAAAATGTTGTATGCAATTCTTCAACACCCTTTCTGGTTACCATATTTGAGTACCATTTTGCTTATAATTTTACTGTAAAATTGTCGTAAATATTTTCACGTAAATTTAGAGATGTTGCTGGATGTGAAGAAGCAAAGATTGAAATTATGGAATTTGTAAACTTTTTAAAAAATCCACAACAATATATGGACCTTGGGGCTAAGATACCTAAAGGAGCAATACTTACAGGTAAATATATATTTTAGCAATAAGTAATTCTTTTTGGTTTTAAATTGGCTTAAGATAATATTCTATAAATTGAATTTTTTTTTTTTTCTATGTAGGTCCACCGGGTACTGGTAAAACATTATTAGCTAAGGCTACAGCTGGTGAAGCAGGTGTACCCTTTATTAGTGTGTCAGGTTCTGAATTTCTGGAAATGTTTGTTGGTGTTGGTCCATCAAGAGTTCGGGACATGTTCTCACTCGCACGAAAACATGCTCCGTGCATATTGTTTATCGATGAGATTGATGCCGTTGGAAGAAAAAGAGCAAGTCGAAATTTTGGCGGACACTCAGAACAAGAAAATACTCTTAATCAACTTCTAGTTGAAATGGATGGTTCGTTATAATAATTGATAAAATTAGTTATTAAATTGTTATATTTATATGTGATTGAATAATATTTCCTTTTTTTTTGTTAAGGTTTCAATACTACTACTAATGTAGTTGTGTTAGCGGCGACCAACAGAATAGATATTTTAGATAAAGCTTTGCTCCGACCCGGAAGGTTTGATAGACAAATTTATGTTCCTGCTCCAGATATTAAAGGTCGTGCTTCTATTTTTAAAGTACATTTACAACCTTTAAAAATTACAATAGATAAAGATCAGTTAGCTAGAAAAATGGCTTCCTTAACGCCTGGATTTACGGGTATGAAAATTGAAATTAATCAATGACATTTCTTAAAAAAAAAAAAGATAGTGGTATTGTATATTTAGAATATTACTAATACTTTATTTTAGGAGCTGATATTGCTAATGTCTGCAATGAAGCGGCTTTGATAGCGGCAAGAGATTTAAATGATAATATTCACTTAAAACATTTTGAACAGGCTATTGAAAGAGTTATTGCAGGCATGGAAAAGAAAACAAATGTTTTACAACCTGAAGAAAAAAAGACAGTTGCGTATCATGAGGCTGGCCATGCAGTGGCAGGCTGGTTTTTACAATATGCAGATCCACTTTTAAAGGTAATTTTTAGATTTTCAACTTCTACTGTAGCTTGACTTTAGTTTCATCTGTATTTTTTGTGTGATAGGTCTCCATAATCCCACGTGGAAAAGGTTTAGGTTATGCACAGTATTTACCACATGAACAGTATCTTTATACAAAAGAACAGTTGTTTGATAGAATGTGTATGGCACTCGGCGGACGAGTGTCAGAAGAAATCTTCTTCGGTCGCATTACGACAGGCGCTCAAGACGATTTACAAAAAGTATTATTCTGTTCCTTTTACATAGTTGTAGTGTATATAATTAAATAATATATGGTTTTCTTGCATTGTTGTAATATATATAATTAATATTCTCTTTAATTAGGTAACTGCAAACGCATATGCTCAAGTTGTTCAATATGGTATGAACGAAAAGGTTGGTAATGTTAGTTTCCAAATGCCTCAACAAGGTGATCTGGCTTTTGATAAACCATATTCGGAACATACTGCGGAACTTATTGATACTGAAGTACGTGAATTAATTGATCGAGCACATAAACACACACGTAATCTACTTACAGAACACAAAGAAAATGTATCTAAGGTATAGCACAACTTAGTTCCATTATTTACAAAATCAATTAATTTTCTTCATTATATTACTGAATGAATAATCTTTTTATTGTTTTAGGTAGCTGAAAGGCTATTAAAACAAGAAATTTTAAGTAGAGAGGACATGATAGAGTTACTAGGTCCTAGACCGTTCCCTGAAAAGTCAACTTACGAGCAGTTTGTGGAGGGTACGGGATCGTTTGAAGAAGATACTAGTTTACCGAAAGGTTTACAAGAATGGAACAAACCAAGGGAGGGCGATAAAAAAGGTGAAAGTTCAAGTAACTCACCATCAGAAGCAGTTTCTCGAATAAATTCATAAAATAAACCGCAACAGCAATTATAAAACATACTTTTACAGATTATAACCTGTAAAGCATTTTGTATTATAGTTTGAAATACATAATTTTAATAAGTAGTGATACATGATTGTACTTGACTGTATTAATTAGAAACGATAATATTATGATTTGTAATTTGTAAAGTTTCGATGTATAAATGAAATTGAGTACTATTTTTTAAAAGAATCTTTATTTAGTACTATAATAGTACTAATAATCATTTAGTACTGTTTATTTTCGACATTATCTTTATTATATAACAGAGCCTTTTTTTATAATAAAAACCAAGTTGTATAAAAAGTACGCAACATGAACTTTTAAAAAAATTAATTTGTAACTACAACGTTGTAATATGTAAAGTGATAGTATAATAGGGAACGCTTTATCGTGTTTTTGAAGACTAAGTAAATAAAGTAATGAATTAGGTGAAATGAATAACAAAGTTTGTTTATATCATTTTTTTGCAACGTATAATTAATAAAGTTTACAAATGTAGTGCAATTAAATTATTTTATCCTTAAGTATTGTAAGTACATTGATAATTTGGTATGTTACTGTCTTTTTTATCGATAATTGTTTTACTTTGGCGAAATTTCTGTGGTGTATTTTGATGAAAAATAGCGCTTGTACGCATGTGCGTAAATTGGATTCTTGCTTATACCAAAATTACATCGTTCAATAAAGAAAAATCAATTGAAATGTGTGAGAACGTCTCTACTTGCATTTTTTGCATCCGAAGGTTTATATATAGTCATTTATGATAAGATTGAAAATGCTTTATTACGACGAAGGTCTTTTTTTGTTAGCGAAATTTATGGTTTAGGAACAAATAGTTTTATCCTTGTTACATGTTATTGTTATTTCTGGAAATTAAATTTTGTTGCAATTAATATAAAATACTATTAATAGTTAATAACAAATTGTACACTATTAATTTCTGGAAAAAGTAAAAAAACATTTATTACAGAATGTATCTACAAATGTAGAAATTGTAGACCTTCGTTCACGCTCTTCACTCATTCGCTCACTCTTTCTTTCCGTCTTTCTCCATTTGCTTAAGTTACACATGAAGTAAGAACATTTAAAAATGAGTTTCGTAAGATAAGCTTTGAGCTCATTTAGACGTGGATTTAAACAAATCGGAGCAATACACGTGCATGCATCTCGATATATCCACTATCAGTCTTGGGATTTTCTTTAAAAGTTATTTTTGTGAGCCAAAACACCCTTGGGAATATTATTTGAACGTCTAGCCTTGAAGGAAAGTATCATCTGATCAAGAAATTTGCTAGTATTTATTCTTCTACGCATCCAAAATTATTGTTCCCGTTAAAGACAATTAGAATTGTAAGAACATCAATACAGTTTATTCTTTTATTGAATTTTCTGCACATATTTTCTTGTCACGTATTGTGTAGTTAATAAATAGTTTTGGACGTGCATTTTGTATAAAAAAGGAAGACCATAATTGTTCATCATTAATTTTTAAATATATATTTGTGAAGTAATTCAATTAATAACCAATATGTCACTCATTATGATTCACAAGTTGAAAAATATTTAATTTCGAATAATTTGATTCTATTAGAACGGGATGTAAATGATATAAAAATTTGACATTTTTAGCAGAAAATAGATAATGTAACATAATTTTGTATGCAAACATCTGCAAAGTTTCATTAACAAAAATAGGTGGAAATTATGTTCTTATGCATGATTATGTTATGACAAAATTTGCAAAGACTGCGTTCATATTTCACACGTGATGTTTACATACACATGAAATTATTTATCAGTAGGTAGTGTGTAGAGAAGATAAGAGGAAAGTGATAAATTAAAAATTTGGGAATAAAAAAAAAATTGATAGGAAATTTTATCATCGATCATCAATTTTACATATTTTACTAATCCTTTTCCGACCTTCGTCGCTATATCTTTGATCCCAAGACAGCGTTTTCCCTTTTTTTTTAATTTTTCATCTCTGAAGTGGCGAATCTTCTCAGCATTTCTACAAAACTATACGATTTATTGAGTAAGTATTTATAGGTTTCGAAAGTTCACCATTAAACTTAGTTCGCTAACTCACTAATCAAATATATCATACAATCACTAAATTATTGCTTTGTCGTACCTTGTATCACACTAATCTAAATCTTATGTTTTCAGTTTATCTTATGTTTTTTTCTTTTTTTTCACATTTTTATTTTTTTTCTCATTTTTTTTAACCTTTTTAGAAAAGCCAGGTTTATTGATGATCATGCCTGCTTCTCTACAAAGTTCTGTTTCACGGATGCGTTCTTCTTTCTAATGTCAGAGTGCCTTTGTGTTTGCGTGTGTGTGACACGCGAAATAATTTGATGGCGCAGGTAACGTGCAGGTTGCATACTTATCGACTCTGCACAAGACCCGAGCGAAATCTAAATTATCGCGGATGGAGGCGAGCTTGGATCGCACTCTAATTAATTTTATTGAAGTGTACTTTGTTCCTTATTTGGTGCCTGCGAATTATCCGTTTAATGTGTAATGAATAATTCATTTTGCCTTGACACGAATAATGTTATTATAAACTATGTTTACAAAATCTTGGAAAAGAAGTTTAACTCTAACTGATGATAATTATCATTTTATAAGTTCGTATTTAATTTATTATAAAAAAAATGATATTAAAAGCACTCATAAAATATCTAAAGATCTAAATTGTACTCGTAGACATGACACCATTAAAAAGGAACTATATAATTATATTTTGAAGGTCTGGAACTCGATCTACGTTCTTTTACAAAAACATCTTTTATGCTTCGAGATTAATTAGAGGCGATCGTTCTTGCGAAAAGTTTCGGTGTAGCGAAAATTCGACTAACATATACGTACATATACACATACATATAGTATATCTCGTGCACATTCGGTCTAGTAAGTTAATTAATTATAGTTACGCGAACATTTGTCACGTTGGTTTCGTTGTTCTTTTTTACCGTGTTTTCGAACTTACGTAATTTTAACAATCAGCACCCTTACGCTTATTTCCTTTCTCCTTTTTACTTTTTCACGCTAATTTCTTCCCGCATTGATACTCCTTTGCTTATTAACAACAAGTGTCATCGCGAAGGGCGACATTAATTACGTTTTATCGCTGCGTTTAAGAGCGCCACGGCTTCGGCGTAGTTACGTTTAAGTACTTTGGTCCTCTTTAGAGTCTTCTAAACGCTTAATTATGCGACGAATCGAAGTAGCAATCGGTCTTTCGCAGCCGCGGAAGCAAGGAAAACGAATCTCCCCTTGGTTTGTCTTATTTCTCCCCTGTTCTCATTCTTCGGTTCGTTTCTTCTTTGGCTAATATTATGACGGCTATAAGACAAGTTTCATTAAGGTTTCGTTTAATTAGTTTTGCCTATTAGAAGTTCTGTTAAATGTGACTTCGTGATGGCACCATGTACGACGCAAATCAGAACAAATAATTGTGATAATTGTGTATAATTAATTAATTATAATTAATTATATTTAGAATCTTGCAATTATGAACAAAATTTCTTTGAATTCAAAAGACAGATTTTGCTCCGATTATAGAATTACTAATTTATTGATCCTATTTTATATAAGAGATAGTTAAGAAAATGTGATAGTTTCAATCCCATACTTTTGGGTTGTTACCTCAGTATGGTCAGTTCATAATAAATCCAAATTTTGTTATTTTTGTATCATAGCAATTTTATCCAGATAGTCGTCGTACACGTACACGATTTGCCGAGTTTGATTTAATTCGGCCCAAAGTTCGAGCGCACAGCCAAAGTAAGTTCTCATGACCTTGAACAAGAAAAAATTATTTCCATTGGACCGAGAAACGTATGAGGCATGATCGTCCTAGGTCCTGGCTTAACTCGTTTGCGTATCTAAAAAATATCATCGACTGCTTGTTTATCGTTAATATCGTTAATAATTATACCACTTTTATCATACCCTTTTTTTTTTAATTTTTTTCTTTCCTTCAAGTTCACACTACGGCGACGATCTAACATTACTTTGTATTCGCGTGTTCATCAGTTCTGCGGCTTGCTATATTGTTTCTTGTTTTTTAACAAATAATTAACTCCACATTGTTGAGCTCTCTTGTTCATGAATTCGGCAAGAAAGCATGGAGAAAACTGTGTCGACAAGCCATGAAGCTGCGATATTTGTTTCAAAAACCTTTTCGACGCTGGGAACGTTCTTCGAGACGGCAACGAAGTTTTATAACGTAAACGAGTGAAGCATCGGTCGTTGATTCACTTGATTCTTCATAATGATTGAATAAAATTGATAAATTTATCACTGTTGAATAATATGTGCAATGTAGATGTAAAGCAACATATTTGTAATCCAAAGTATCTAATATAGACGCAAAACCTAGTAGTATTTGGAGGTTAGTTTTTGTAATATAATAGACTCTCGTGTAACATGAGTGATACGTACCGTGTTACATAAATCCGTGTTATAAGAATGCAGCACTGAACTACATTAATCAGTTTCACTGCTGAATGTTTTAGTTTATAATCCTATTATATCATTTTCCCTTTATAATACAACGTATCACTACACTGTGAAAATGTATACTTACATATATACGGTGTTATATGAATCTTTTAGCGTATTATACGAACACTGTCACAATTTTTGCATTCTTTATATGAGCTCATGTTATACGAGAATCTATTGTGTATATCATATTATATCCCGTCATACGTCTGATCGTGCATTCTCTCGCTTTTCGGGAAAGTAACGATGTTGTCCTATGTATGGTGGGAATATTTAGAACACATTTCAGAGTACATAAAATATACAAACATTGTAAAATGTAATCATGGCGATGATATTAATAATAATAATAGTAATAATAATAATAATAATAATAATAATAATAATAATAATAATAATAAAAATGGCAATATTAATAACAACAACATTAATATTAAGTAAGGTGATATTGTTTTCAGGTACGGAATTTTTTAAATAAATTTTTATCGTTTTGATAATAACAAAAAAGAAAAAAAAAGATGGTAACGACGTTTTGTTAATTAATAGTCTCAACGATTGATTGCTTGCTCTACCTTTTTTGTTTTTCCTTCTCTCATTTTAATGTTTTAATATTACGAAAGCAAACGTTAATACATTTGAATACTTTATCAAAGGATTGTATTTTTTCTTTTTATCAAAATTCGTTGCAGTGACGAGGAACGATACACGATTTGATAACCATATAGATCTCTCTGTTTTGTTTCATTATTGACTACTGTTACGAGGTTAACTCTAATTGATTAGAGATTCGATTGACTGTCGAGTATTGTATAACAGCATGAAAACGAGACTGCTAGCTGTGAATATCATTGAAGATGTGATCGAAATTTACAAACGACCATCCATTCGAATAGTTCGAATAGGTCGTATCGGTTTTCTTGACACATAAGCGTGGGCGCTGCTTACTATGCGTACTCCACATTATTGTATATAGAACTCGACATTCTTTGTTCCATAGAAACGAACGTACAGGGACAACTTTGCATCTGTTCCCATATCATTGGAACGTGGTCAGAATCAGACTCGCTTAACTCATCGCTAATAAAATGATAAAAATAAAAATTTGAGAAATGATAGTTACTACGAACTAGGAACCTTATACTTACAATTATATTAGACTTTATAAGAATGTGAAAAAATAATCGAATATATTTACACATCAACAGCCAAATCTAGTCTTATAGAATCGATAGGACGAACGTTAGGCAAGTCTATTTCTGACTTTTCGCTCAAACATAGATGTAACGTACATGCGATTCAAAACAATTTTATTCGATTTGATCGATTAGTAAATTCTTAACACTGAACCTTCTCATTGTTCTTTCGAATTTTTTTTTATCAAATTCCAAGCATTTCATAAGTTTTGAATCACTGACACGCTTACTTTGTTTACATTCGTTTCGATTAATCACACATTTTTATTTGCATGAGTCTAATTCTTTCTCTTTCTAGTAGAAGTATGACTATCCATGAAGTTATAATAAATATCGATATCTCTATATATCGATAATATCGTTCTGGCAAATCGAAGCGAGTGTGGTATGTACATCGTAACGTGTTAATCGTAATAAAATTACTTAAAATATATTAATTTTTATTTGAACTTATATGTTCAATAATATATACATATATTTTGTTTAAAAATTTTTTTCAATGAAAATTAATGAAAAATTATAATCAGTGCTTGAATGTTTATTTTAAAAAGGCGGGCAAATTCTTTCTCATAGAAAGATAAGGTTACAATCAATATATATATATATACCCTATATATATATCCTATATACAGGTAAAAATGTTGTTTATAATATATCCCAATAGAAATAAATAAATTTGGCCAATTTTATTATGATTAATGCGTTGCATTTTTTCTTTGTCTTCATTTTAGCGATATTTTAAGTTACCGATAACTTATCGATAATCGATAGTCTTATTTTCATTTTCTACCACTAGAGTAATTCTTGTTTTGAATCAACATGCACGTTACTATTTTATCGATTGCAGACGTTGAAGTTCCTCGATCCTGAAACGACGGTCCCTTCTATCTATAGACACGAAACGAGGAAACGGACAGACACATCGACATCAACGATTAGTTCCTTTTGTCGCTTCTCTCGATTTTTCACGAACTTAAACCGCTAAAGCTCGCTTGTTTCGGCGTCCGTTTAAAAACTACTTAACGCGAACTAACCGATACCCGAGTACGCCAATGATACATATGGTCGATTCCTAAAGTTTTCTAATCGATGAAAATGTCTCGTACCAAAATATCTCTACGGTCATTATAAAAACGCGTTTCATGTGAAAGCAACAGCGATACGACCAATTAAATTAAGGACAACCACATCACCTATTATACAGTACCAAGCCCCAGTTCGTGGGATAACCTAAGATAAAACGATACAATTCAAGCGTAATTCGCTGACTATAGAGCGTAAGTCTCATTCGTTTATTCTCTTGTTACTACTCGATCTTTGGTTTCTTTATTCCTTTGTTTCGGGCGCAACGGTTTTTTCTCCTTCCACTCCAACTCTTCCACTCCTCAATACCAACCGTAATACAATATTCCTTTCGTCCATTCTGTTCGACTACTTCTTTTCACTTCGACTAACAGGATTCTAAATTAATATTATGTTTCAGAGTGCTATACTTACGAGTAAATTAGTGGATAAATAGAACGACTAAAGACTAGAAATAGTAAAAATCAAGGTAACGTACAAACAAAATTACCATAAATCTAGTAAATTATGATTAAGACTAATGTACAATGATACATTATTTCATTGACTAGGTGTGCTACGAAACCTATAATAAAGTTATATTGTTACAGGCAAGTCTCGAATTTTGTGACTTATTTTCTACCGAATCATTGGGACAATTATTTCAGCATTTTAACCGAGTATTATATTAATAGTGATACATGAATTGAATTTACAATTTTTTTTATAAAACTTCAGGTAAGAAATTGTTCAATTTTCATCTTTCAATTAGGTATTATTTTTTATAAGAATTGTCGTATAAAATTTGGTTCAGTTTAAAATTATTTTAAATTTGATTTCAGTTTTGAAATTGAGAAAGTCTGATTTTACATAGGAGTGATTTTTCCAAAGTGATTTATTTGTTAATTGATCTTAATTACAGTTCATTCGAATATAAAAATTTGGAGAGTTTAACAACAAAAAATTATCGAGAGGCAAATATACTTTATGTGGAAGAGAGAGATGCCGCTGAGGGACAGGAATTTATTAAGAATTAATTTCTTTAATAATGGTAAATCAATTTTCAAAATAAAAATTTACGTATATATTCGTCACTGAGAATTATAGAAGAAATTGTTTTGAATCATTGAAAAGGATTCACATTTTTAGAACTGATAATAAGAAAAAGTTTTCCATTATGAGCTTCTTAACAATTGTAAATTAAAAGCTTTTGACTAGATGAATAGGAATTCCTCGATAATGCAATAAATTTTCTTACTCCGTTAATACATAACATGCGGATCAAATAAGCCTATTAATCGTTCCAGGTACAAGGAGAAATCTAAAAATCGCGATCTCGTTTGCATATACTTTTGACAACGAGGAAATTACAGGAGGATGTTCTATAATTTAGGGAAGCGGAACGAGCGACCCTTTCGCCACCAATGGTCATTCCTGCATTCAACAGGTGGTCCAGTTTACGTGAAATGTTGATGAAAACCTTCGACGTGTGCCCATCCCCCCACCATTGCTCCTATTGTGCGCCAAAGGCGCCAATGAAAGTTCAGAAAAAGGATGCTTTGAAGAAATTACGCTGAGGAGCAAAATTTTTTGTGAATTAAACATCGATAACCTGGTATCAACGTATCGAATATCAGCTTGATTACGAATCACTTCATCGACGATTAAAGAAGCGATTATGTTACGATTTTCTTCATCATAAAAAAGTCTGTCCAATGTTTGATTGATAATTATTCAGAGAATATCATACAAGAAAACGTTGAATAGTATTGAAGAGTAAGTTGAAAAATTGTGGTTGATAAATATTAAATGCAGAGCTACATAAAATGTTCCTTTATTATAGCTCGCTGAAATCAACTGGCTGCTCGAGATCGCCTCCGCCATCACATACTACTCTCATTGTTTGCTTCGCTCATTTTAACTTATAAATTGGGTATTTGTATGTTATATGTTTAATATTATTATTTTATTATAATATTTATATATTCAATACGTTAACCAATTATGTTATTGTTTTAGGTCTTCGAAAAATCTACTAGGTGCTCTAAAATCTTGAGCAAAAGTATATAAACTACGATATAATGTACCTGTTGGTTTTTACTCATATCATGGAAGAATTATATCTTTTGATATTTCCTTCTTATCTCTCATTTTTGTGCTTTATCTTTATTCATAATTTGTTTCAATAACTGTGGTTGAGGTAATGGAATTGTGTCTTCATACAGATTAGGAATAATAGAAATTTCATTTAATCAAGCAATTCCTCTGTTAACAGGTTAAAGTAAATTTAGAATATATACCGGATGCTATTTGAGCCTATCAATAGGATAAAAGAAAGAAAATGTTTCTAACCATGTGTTAATGACCTTGAGCAACCAATGGAATATGTATACAGACCAATGATATTAAATCAAATTACAGAAGAGTTCATACAAAACCAATAAGGGTAAGATGAAAGTGTACGAACTGTCGCGTGATTTCTAAAAACCCTCCAGTATTAAATAGAACGTCGTTATATCGACGAGAGTCACTGTACTTCGAGCGTACATTGTTTTCGTTGGATCTCGAAGTTCTTTGACTGGGATTGACCCGGTTTCCATCCACGATCGGCGATTCGAAATGAATTTTACTCACAAATTGATGGTCCCTCGATAGTATTGCATCGATTCTCGCTGAGTTGTTCGTTCTCTGCGTCCTTTACCTCCCTCAAGCGTATTCGAGACCCTTCATTGGAAACCGAACGAGCGTCGTTTCGTTTCCCTTGATGCTTCGCGTATATCGATTTCACCGGACGACGAACGGAGTATTCATCGAGCGTCTATGGACGAAAGGAATGTCGTATGAATCGCATCATGCGCGATCGATGCGAAGAAACTCGTGTTTCCTTAGCTTAGGACAATATATCCCTGTATACACGTTCGAGATCTTTCGGATGTACAGCTTTCTCTGCGCAAATGCGACCTTCGATATCCACTTAATATTAATAATATACGCCCTTGAACGTTTACCGATCTCAAAGAATTAAATGAGAATATAAAAACGTTGGTTTAACCACGATATTCTCCTGTTCAATGTCCATTTGTTTAACGAGAATTTCATCTTTAAAATCAACCTTCACGTATTTGTTCTTTATTCCTCGATAGGCTCGTGGTGACTTAAATCGCTGAATTTATCGGAGTATGTTCGAGATTGCTTACCCAGACTGAGAATTCGATGTGTGATCGACGTTTGACGCCAAAGGATCACCTGTGACGTTAACGATGGTGGCAAGAAATTCTCCGTTGTTTTCATTGTTCTATGAATGATGTCTTCCTTTTGTGGATTCAATCGAGGTTATGTCACATGGAAATTTTTAGAAGTTTGTGTGGGAGTGGGAAAGGGGAGGGAAACAACGAACTCGCCATCACCGTTGAACCTATCGAATTCTAGGCGGATTTAAATCGACCCACGGTCGTCGATATTGGACGAGTTTGCACCTCCGAGAAATTTGTCCCTCCGTTTGGTGTTCTGCCTGATGCTATCTGAAAAACAGAAATTTGCGCATTGATCGTATATTATTAACGTCGTGCTATAAACGTAACCTATCAAACATTCCTAGTAAGTAGTATCGCTCTATAGCTCAAGTCTAATTAATCAAATTTTGTCAAATATCTAAATTCTTAATTATTCCCTTAATTATCTGAAGCTACTTTCCATATATTCTAGCGCCACAACCAATTCTTTGGTCTCTCACTTTATTCCAAGTTGAAAGACTTACTTGATGGCGATTAGCGATACTAGCGCCAACAGTCGGCCCCAATTCGAACGAATCTACTGGGGAGCATCTAGGTCATTGCTGGGCTCGTCGTTCTCCCTCTGGCAGGCTGATTCCAGGTGTTTGTTCAGGTAGGATTTCAGTGCGAACGACTTGTGACACTTGTGACACTCGTAGTTTTTGTCTGCGGAGTGTGTTTGCATGTGGGCGCGCAAATTCGACCGATCGGCGAACGCTTTGCCGCAATGCGCGCACCCATAAGGCTTCTCGCCCGTGTGACTTCTCAGATGGCCTTGGAGTAGCCACGGCCTGGAGAACATTTTGCCACACACGCCGCAACTGTGTGTCAGCTTATGGGTCAGCACGTGCATCGCCAAAGCTGGCATGCTCACGTACGCTTTGCCACAGTGGATGCACTTCTTCGCCGATTGTGAATCGATACTGCGGTGAGTTTGCTTATGCCGTGATAGGTTCGAGGAGGTTGCATACTGTTTACCTGAAAGAAGATAATTCTAGACGTGAGCGATGCGATCCTATCGGATAGTAATCATTCCCTACCCCCCTCCTTCCGCCAATACGCCTACTAAGAACCTACCACACTCGCAACAGACGTAACGTCCAATCTTCGATGTTTCAGGTGCTTCAATCGGTTCAGCCTCCTGTGTCTTCTGAGCGGGTACACTCTTCTTGTTCTTGGACCTTCCATCAGCCACCAGCAAAGTATCGTAAGTATAACTAGCTGGCTTCACTTCTGTCTGCTCGGTTACTGTTTGCACTTCTTTATCCTTTTGACTCGGTTGCGAATTAGGGTTATTATTCTCGATATCGCTGCTGCACTCAGAAGTAGGTGGCGTTAGCGGCGGCGCCGCCTCTATAGTCGGATGAGGTTGCTGTTGCTGTGGTAGCGGTTGAGGTGGTTGATGGGCTACGATTGGCGTGCACGGGATGGACGGTGTGCTGTAGGTGAGCAGGATCTCCTGAACGGGAGACAGGGGGATGAACACACTGCCCGTTTGCTGAACTATCGTTGCACTGGGCTCGTAAATGATACTCGCAGTGGGTGGTTGTTGTTGCTGGTGGTGTGCATACACGGTGGAGCTCGCAAGGTCGATGGTGTTCACTTGGTAGATAGGTTGATCTGGCTGGTATACCGTCATCTCTTGGATATCCGTCGCGGGCGACTCTATGACACTCTGTGGTCCAATAGCGACGCTAGGTGGTGGTAAAGGAGGCAGAGACCTTGATAGCTCTAGTAAATCGTGGGCAGCTTCCGTTTCGGCCGCGGAACGGTCTTTGAACATCGAGGAAACGTAATTGGTGATCACATTGCCGTTGTTGGACGCTATCTTCGAATCAGGTGTCGAATGATCCGCTGTTTCTTCTACGTGGTACGGCGTGGCTGTGCTCGAGGGAGGAGAAGGTTCTCCTGGCGGTGAGTGGTGGAGCACATTCGCGTGCTGTTGATGTTCTATGTGAGCTGTTTTGGACGGTGATCTAGGAGCCGTGAACGGCAACGTGGACGTCGTGATCGTTGTGTTCTCGACGCTCAAGCTGATCGACTCTGTCGTTTGTGGAACTGCTACCGCGGAAGATGACCCTGTAGTGGTGCATGTGATCACCGATGTCGTCTCCGTTCGAGCTGTAATCGGAGGTTCCGTTGTTGGGATGGCTACATTGCTTGTCGCGCTTGTCATGTCCACATTGCCAGGCTCGTTCAGCTTCTCCTTGCAGACGTCCTGCTCCGACGTCTTCGTTCTTGCTGTTGCGGTCGTATCTTGTGATTGCGTGTTCACGTATTCTGTGACATAAAAGACACATACATCTATACATCGTGATTCGAGAACTCTATCGCTGCGTCTAACATCGGTAGCGTCTACTTGCAATTTTCCACCGGCAAATACCGTGGCGTGTCGGGGGAAAATATAAAATTTGAACGAAGGGTCCCCCCAGACTCTCCATGGCTGGAGCTAAGTCCTCAAAGCGAAACGAGAAAGCTCGTGAAATTCAATAACCACGGCTGCTTTCCTTGCACCGTAAAAAAAGCAAAAGGGAACACGAAGGAAAAAGAAAAGCACAAAAGGTAGCAGTAACTTTGAGCAAAAGAGCGGAAACAGCATCGTCAGCCCCATTTCGCCCCTTCCGTCCGCGACAATGCGATATTAACGAGACAACTGACGAGCGACAGCGGCGCGTAACTCGATTTCTTAATTTGACTTTTTAATCGAGATTTAACGAGCGAGGAGGAACACGCCGGGGAGGAGCGTGCCTGGTTCTGTTGTCGACGTGCCAACGAAAGAG